AAATTACAGACCCATTACCCTATTACCAGTGGCCTATAAGATATTAGCAAAAACACTAACTAATCACATAAGGAATGTTACAGATAAGTGCTTTCACATCGATCAAACAGGCTTCATCCCAGACAGATACATACTAGATAACGTAGTGTGCCTAAACGAAACCACCAAGTTAATAAGAAACAAAAGACTACAAACGGCCATACTCTTCTTTGACTTCGAGAAGGCTTATGACCAGGTTAACTGGGACTTCCTACAACTCAGTATGGAACGGATGGGAATAGGCCCAAATTTTAGAAGATGGGTAAGGGTGCTTTATGCGGATGCTATGGGTATGGTACAAGTAAGTGGACACTTGTCGGACACCTATAGAATGACCAGATCGGTCAGACTAGGTGATCCGTTAGCAGCTCCGGTCTTTTTGTTTGTCATGGAAGCCATAGCAGCCTTCCTACGCAAGGACCCCTCAATTGACAAACTGATTGTAGAAGGATCAGATCGTCACATTTCACTCCCTACGGTAATGCTCTTTGCAGACGACCTCACAGTCTTAATAAAAGCTACGGATTCATCCTTCCAGACCTTGACAAGAGCAATGCAAGCATTCCAGTTAGACTCAGAAATGAGGATCAACTAGATGAAAACGGTGGGATGGTGGCTATCCTCCCCTCCTCCCCCCCCCCCAGAGTCAACGGATATGCAAGGACTGCAGTGGATAAGCGCCTAAGGACCCATGAGATTCCTGGGAATAACAGTATCGGCCGAGGGAGTAAGCGAGAGCACAGGTCCCAACATACTAGCCAGAATAATAAACAAACTTATGGGTTGGCAGAAGATTTACACCTCACTCTTGGGCAGAGCTCTCGTGCTTAACACATCCATCTTCTCTATGATTTGGTACACAGCATCCATCTGGGACCCGCCTCAACACTTTATCTCAACATTAAAGAAAAAGGTGGGGGCTTAGCTCTGGACAGGAGATGCGACCAAAGACAGATTTATCTCGAAGGCAGCATGGAAATACATAACCAGACCAGGGAAAAAAGGAGGCCTGGGACTGTTAAACCCAGCGTATGAATACAAAGCTTTGCAAACCAAATGGATAATCAGAATCCTCCTACACAAAGAGTTACCTTGGCATGACATGGCTCTATACCAGATCCGTAACCTCATTCCTTTCCAAGTATACCCACAAATAGAAGGCTATCACTCGCTAATGAACAAGGCATGGTCCATAAGAACAGAAAGTAACAGAGGGAATGTTAACCAGAAGGCCAATAAGGACCCCCCAAGCAATCATTGGAAAACACTCATTCACCATTGGAGAGAGGCTTTTCCGGAAAAGGTTAGGCTACCAAAAATAAAGGAAGAAGTTCTGAGACAACCACTCTTCGGAAAACCCCTCATATTAGATGGAAAAGGTAGGCCCTGGTCCTTAACAAGCAAGGGTAGAAGATGGAGAAAGTGGATGGAGAAAGGAATTTGGAAAGCGGAACACATCTGGAAGGAGGATGAGAAGACATGGAAGACAGACTCGGAACTAACGCAACAACTCAAAGGATGCCACAATTTGGAAAACAACCTAGAGGAAATGCTAGATAGCATACCTCTAGAATGGACGAAGCTGCTAAAGGGAGAGATCAAATGGGAAATAGGTGACTGGGAAACAGACAGAGGACAAACGGTGTCATCGGTAGCTCTTAAATTTGTCAAACGCATAGGAAACCAAGGGAACGTAGCAGAATTTGAAGTACATGAACTACGAAGCAAACACAAATCAAAAACAGGGATCGTAGAAGAGAGCATAACAACCTTAGAGTTTGACATTGAAAAACTGTGAAAAGTAAGAACATGGATAGTAAAGGAGAAAAGAGGTTCCAAAAATCAGGCTAAAAATTCAAAGACAGTACGTCTATTCAGACCAGACAAAGACATCAGGTATTTAGAAGTGGACCCGGCCGAATGGGGCTGGTATGTCAACCTGGGAAGGGGCAGGGCAAGGAAGTTAATCAATTTACAGGACTATGAAGTAAAAATAGGATACAAAATAAGAAACAAGACAGTAGACCCCCGCCCAATTATCTCAGAAAGATGGATCAAACACTTGGGAGAGGAACACGGCTGACCCTCGAAGATCCCATGGGATTATTACAGTAACCTGAAACCTACCAGATTTAGAAGCCTGCAATGGCTAATACTGTACTGGGCAGTCCCAGTAAATGAATGGCTGGAAAGAAGAAGGAAACCCGAACAAGGAGCAGAACAATCCTCCCTCTGCAAAATGTGTGACGAGAGCAAAGTGGAATCACTGGTCCACTGCTTGATAGAATGCACGCATGCAGACAGAATTTGGGAAGCAGTCAAGTCATCATGGTCCAACATATCCCCAAACTCATTTCCGTTACAAGCGGATTACTTACTGTCAGCGAGAGACACAGAGGGATTTTTCGAGGAAGAAGAAAGAAGCACAGCGGATTTACTGCGAAGAGCAGCACTTTGGGTGATATGGAGATCTAGATGCAAAGGAACGCTCAGCAATCAGATGATAACGTACGAAGAAGAGTGGAAAGAAATTAAGGAAATTGTGGAAACGGAAATCAGAGCACAATGGAAAAAGGAATTAAAGAAACAGGAAATAATATTTGATCCCAAAAAAGAGAGATTAGTCAAGAGTCCTTTGAAAGAAAATGGTTACTAGACGGGAAGATAGCAAGAATAGATAACAAACGCCTAAAGTTTCAGGAATGGGACAAGGTAAACCAACTCAGGGATACCTCGGATGTAGAGGAGTCACCCTCAGAGGGAAGAACAACGGCAGGGCAACTAGTCTGATTCAGGAAGGGGAAACAGGGCCCATCTCAGAGGCATGTCTTCAGGCCCAGGATAAAGAGATATTACCAGCACACAGCTGTAGAAGGAGAGAGGATGACATCAACCCCCCCCCCCCCATACTCAAGTAAGTTCACTTAAACGATTAGGATAAATGGTAGGATCACAGGCTTTTATATAGGGTTTAGGGTTTTAAGAATCCCCCAACAAATGTTCAAAACCCCAAGGGAATAGGTTCAGAGGAATGAGGGTTCAGGCAGAAAGAAGGGGCCCATAGTCCAGGATCCCATAGAAAATACAGCAAGAGGCAGGGGATAGAGGAGGGGTAACAGAAAGAACAGACCATGTCCCATGGAAAGTCACAGGAATAGGACCCCACAGGACCAAGGTTAACAAGTCTAAGGACTCCATTAGTCTTCGCCGGCTCTAGCTTGTTCATGAAAATCCGACAGCAATACAGCTGAGAGGAGCCACTGGGGAACAGTATCCTATCAAGCGCTACCAGATGCTACAAGTCTCCTTTTTTTTTTTTTTTTTTTTTTTTTTTTTTCAAGTAGTAGTCCAAGCAGGCTAACTTAGGCAGGGGTGAGGGGAGGTACATCCTTCCCAAGGGAAGCAATCAATGCCGTCCACTCGGGCCTCTCAACCTTAAAGGGAGGAGCGTGCATGCGTCAAGCCTTGTAATGATTAATGACTTGCCGGGGGAAAAGGAACCGGACTGTTGCTCCCCAGAATGGCAGGAGCCAGAACTGAGAGGTTCTGTTCTTCATTTAAAAAAAAAAAAAAAAAGCGATGTGAGGAACATGCTGGGATCCATCATACATGTGTATTCGCATAACCCGCTGAACGCATGTCACAACTGGGGCAATGGTTTCCTGTTCATTGATGTCCTACAATTGGGGCAATGGTTTCCTGTTGATTTTTTTATTTTTTTTTATTTTTTTTTTGATGTCCTACAATTAGGGAAATGGTTTCCTGTTGATTCATGTCCTACAATTGGGGCAATGGTTTCCTGTTGATTGATGTCCTTCAGTGTCCCCCGGTAAGTAATGCTTCTCACATGGACCTGACAGTCCTTCCCTGGTCACCAGTGTGTGCCACTTGGAACACCAACATGACTGCACATGGCATAAAAAGGGGGACCCTTTCTCATATAGTCAGTTGTGGCTGGGGTACCAGGGTGTGGTGATTTTACTCGGCATGAATGCTTCTGGAATGCTTCCGCATGCTTCTCACTTGGACCTGACGATCCTTCCCTGGTCAGCAGTGCATGCCACATGGAACCCCAACATGACTGCGCATGGTGTCAGAAGCGGGACTCTTTCTCATATAGTCAGTTGCGGCTGGGGTACCAGGGCGCAGTGAGCTTCCATCAGCGCGAACGCTTCTGGAAAGCTTCCGCACCCGCAGTCGCGAGCCTTGTCATTAGATGGACACAGCATCTTCCTCTGCGGAATGACATTTCCCCCTTGTCCTCTTCTTGATTTTGGAAGAGATTACCGACCCCGATTGGTCTATTTTTCCCTCCCCTCGATACCCGCAGCGGGTGTATGCCTATGTCCCTCGGACATAACTACACCCCATCGTTTTGCCTTTTTTCATTCTTTATTTTTCATTTTTGCCCCCTTCCCTTCTTGCCACCTTAGACCAACCCCATGCACACTCAGTACGCCAAACTCCTTGTGGTGGAGTGAGAAGTTCCGGTTCTGCCCCGGAACTGTGATCCCCCGTCCAAAATCCTCAGCCGCAACCCCTCTGATTACAACTTGGCCAGCAATGGTACAGGACACCTAGTGTGAGGCACACGAGGTCGCCCATGACAACGTTTTTTGCGCACTTGGGCCCATGATAGGCAATTAGCTACAGTGGCAGGTGAGGTCATCTGAAGCAAGCCCCTTGATTGATGTGCGGAGCGCTGTTGGCTTTCTCCTCCCTCTGTCAGATTCGTGTGTCAGTTTCTGTCACGAATTTTGGACTCTGGGCTGTCGACCTCCTGGCCTGAACTCAACAAGGAGGGACGGGAGTTTATTTGTATTCTATCATTTATGATGCGACAATGGAAGGGAACTGGACGACTGCCTTTTGAGAATTCACAGAGGCCACGGTCATAAGGCTGCACATAAAGGAAGAAGAAGAAGAAGAAGAAGAAGAAGAAGGATTGATTTCTTGCTTACTTCCGTCGAGTCTTGGCAAGTCGCAGGGACGCGAAGAATGCCTCGTCCGACATTCGATCTAGAGTGGCTCTCTCCTCAGGTGTCAATTCGAAGTTTAAAACTGCTTTGCTCCCCAGAAGCTTATATGCAGCTCTGACAAAACCAGGCAGCCACCCTCAGGTCCTCAACCCCGAACCACCAAAGCCCCCAAACAAACACACGACAAAACAAGCAAGCAAGCAAGCAAGCAACCAACCAACCAACCAAACCAACCCAGCGAACCCAAAATCCCCAACCCCCCCAAACCAACCCAACCAACCCAACCAATCCAACCAGCCCAACAAAACCCACCAAAACCCACCAACCCACCAACCCACCAACCCACCAACCCAACCAACCCGACCAACCCAACCAACCCAACCAACCTGACCAACCCGACCGGACCTGACCC